ACAGTGTCCATGGTGCAAGAGGATGCTGAAGCCTCTACTTTCTCCTTTTCTTTTTTTTATCTCCACCTCAGGTGCTGTGCAAGCTAGAGGGGGAGAAGAGGCAAGGACTAATCCTGTCTTACCTATTTACAGCTCTTCAAAGAGGCAATTTTGTGTTGAAACAGTATTATTTAGGAAAAATGGTAGCATATGGTGCCAGAGATAATTGCTTCAGCAAGAGATTAATACCCCATGAGCTGTCTGGAGCTGAAGCTGGAATCTGAGCCTCCCTTCAGCTGTGGGAAGCTGTCAGAAACCAGCAGCAGTTTGTGGATGGAGCCTCATGGGAGGTCTGTCTTCCTGGGAGGATGATTTGGGATGCAAAAACTGGCCTGGTACTTGCAATTTTTGCTGAAACTAATACAACATTTCAAATTCCCTTTGAAAATGGGCAGACAGGGAGCAAACCATGATTGCAAAAAATTTTGTGTTACTTTGTGTTTTTCTTTTCATCTTTCTGTTTCTTGGAGAAATTAACCTGGAATCAGCAAATTTCATGATATAGACTGAAATATAATAGAAATACAGACTTCAAATAATTTGTAGGACCTGAAAAAGAGCTCTACTTGCTTCATTACAATAGTTTTTAGCTTGTGGCTATTTTTGCTGGTGTTCTGCTCTTTAGCAACAACAGCATGATAGTGCCTTTAGATAATGAAGCAATGCTGCATTTTGAATGCTGACTTGTTTTCCCTGGAACAGCATCAAGAAAATGAAGAGGTTTAAGTGCCAGGTGGAGATTAGAGGAAGAAAATGAAATTCAAAACAGGAAGCAGAGAGAGGCAGGCTCCAAAACAACCTTCATGACATTTCACTCCGAGAGAGGAATACTGGCAGTTATCGATCTGTCCCCTGCCAGTCACTTTCCCTTCCACAAAACTGCCAAGGAATTGTGCAGCTTTCTGCAGGCTTTTCAAAAGCCTTTAAAAGAAAGATGATGCTAGAAGGTTTAATGGGCTGGGAAGACCAAAAAAAAAATTAAAAAAAAAAAAGGGCCAGCAAGCAGTCTGAGCATTTGCCTCCCACTGTTTCATTGGGCAGTTCTCCACATGCCTTGTAATTCAGCTGCCTGGAAACAGGCTCAGCTGAGCCACCTCAGGACACCAACACCTCCCCTGCCAGAGATGGGCTCAGATAGAGAGAAGCAGCTCCAAGGCTGCCAGGTGCTGTCTCCAGTGGAAGGAGCCTTGCTGTGACTCAGGGATATCTGCTCAGGCACAGCTCTGCACTCCTGTGTGCCTGGCTGCTGGAGGAGAAGCAGCTCCCGTGTGCCTGGCTGGCCCTGGCTCTGCAGGCACACCCATCTCTGCCCCGGGCATCCACTTCCAGAGACCACCTGAGCAGAAATCAAGTCAGAGGGGACGCTGCTGGGCTGACAAGGGCTTGCCTGGCAGGAGGTGTTGTGGCCTGTGTGCTCTTCCCATGGGCACAGCAAAAAGCAGTGCAAGTAGCAGCAGGGGAGAGCTGCTTTCTTGTCAGGACAGCAACTCTTCCTTGCTGGTAATTTAACTTGGCGAGCAGGCAGGGTTGGCAATCAGATTGTTGTGATGAAGGATGTGTGGCAACCAGTCCTTACGTCTCTGCTATGACTTTTACCAGCTGAAATGTAGGAAAACTTATATTGATACTGTAGTAAGCAAGGGAGAGAGATGCCTCATTTCTTGCCAATGATTACCTAATACGAGATGCATTTTTCCATGTCCACTTCTGTCTTGGTTGTAGCTCTTATTGCTATTTTTTCCTTTTGCTTGAGAAGCCCTATAGTTTATCTACCAGGTCCATATACTATAAAATTTTGTGCAAATTTTAAGAATTTACCAAGGTTACCATTTAGAGCAGCTCCTGATGAACTTGAGAAGCCCTATAGTTTATCTACCAGGTCCATATACTATAAAATGTGCAAATTTTAAGAATTTACCAAGTTTACTGTTTAGAGCAGCTCCTGATGATTTGGGATAAAATATACAAATGCTGTGTGAGGTGAAAACCTGCTTTGAAAGCCAGTAATACAGGTTTGTCTGACAGAATCTCAGCCGTGTGTATCAGCCCTGACTGTTCTTGGTGATAATTCAGGGATGCTTTTATGGGCTTAGCTCCCAAGGGTTCTCAAGGCTGAGGTGGAGCAACTGATGTATCATAGCATGACAGTGCCTTCCTGAAGCCTGCAGCTGGCATCAGCAGAGCTGGTTGTCCCAGTGTTTGCCGCTAATCCAGAGGCACCAGAGCCTCTCCAGCTGGGTGTGGGCCACGGCAGGACTGTCCCCATCACATCCCTGGGGGCACGCACGCCCTGCTCGGCTCCTGCCCACCACCAAGGGATTTCTCTCCTCCTTGGCTGGATGCTTGGAGACTCCTGAAGCTGAGACACAGATCACCAAGTTAGCAGAGCAGGCTGCTTGCAGCTTTGAAGGAAAACTTCAATGAACCATGAAGCCTCAGTTAATTATTTTTCTTGCTGCTGTTGTTTTTCACTGCTGCCGACAGTGGATTTACCTCTGCCCTCTCTCACAGGGATCCTGCTGTTCCTAATGCTGCTGTGAAAACCTGGTTTTCTAAGGAGCAAAAGTAAACTTTCCTGTTTTCTTTTCATGTTTATCCTTTCTCTATCTTTGTGAAACATCAGCAACCCTCACAAGCAGCCCATTCAGCAGCTGGAGGGGTGGCCCCAGTGGGGAGAGTACAAAGGCAGCCCCTGGAGCTGGTCCAGCCGCTCACACAGCCAGGCTGGGGCACTGCCTTTCCTCACAAGCCTTCCCCTGGGCAGCAGGGTGCTGCCAGACCAAGGGCTTTGGTTTTAATTTAGACGCGGCCCTTGAAGTCAGGGTGGCTTCTCAAAGCACCACACATCCTTTTCACACATCTGAAGTCCTGCAGGGGCTGCCTTTGATCCAGAGCTTGCGAAGGAAGGGCTGGAACTTCAGCTACACAATATGAGCAGTTCTACTTAATTTGCGCTGCCTGCAGCCTCCTGCTCTTTGCACAACCGCGATGCGAGGAGAAACCATCCCTGCGGATGGAAAGGAGAACCCTGGCCAGGGCCGGGGCTGGCAGGACCCCTCTCTGCAAGCCTCGTGTGCCCTCTAGCTGCTGCGGGCTCCGGGAGCGGGGCTGGCCGCATCCTCCCCGAGCCCGGCGCGCAGGCAGCACCTGAGAGCAGATTCTTCAATAACTGCAGTCACAGGGGCAGTCCCGACCCAGGGGTTGATCGCGGTGGCTGCTGCCTTGTTTGCCCTGCCGTGGGTCAACAGATGAAATTTGTGTTTGCTGCTCAGGTGGAGAATTTGTTGTTTGAAAGGTGTGTGCACACAGTTTACACGTGGAGCTGAAGCATGTCAGCCGGATGACTCCTGTGGCACCTAGTAAGATGGAAAATCAAAATGTGCTATGGGGCAGGGAGAAAAGAGAGAGTTGAATATGTTTTGTTTCTTTTAATTTTGTAGGTTTTGCACAGGCCTTTTTGTGACATGTTTCTCTGCAGAGTGCAGACTGCTGCAGGCTCAGAGGCACGGCTAGCTAAGGCGACTCTGTGCCTGGTGCTTTGGTCTGTCCAAAGGGACCAAGCAAAGGTGGGGGAGCTGCTGCCCCAGCTGCCCTGCAAGCACAGCAAATAAGGGTTTCAGGGCAGAGGAGCTGGGCAGAGGAGCTGGCTGCAGCAGGGAGGGGATGTCACACCAAAATGCCCCCTGTGCCCTGCCAGCCACGAGCACAGAAACCACCCAGTGAGAGGGCACTCACACTGCTGATATGGAGGGCCAACACGCTTTCTTCTCTTGTATCACTCATATTTAGCAGTGTTGGGGTACAGCACCATCAGCCCCAGGACCTCCTGTGGGCCCAGCAGTTTGAACAGGCTGAGCAGGCACGGCTGTGGTGGTGGGCACAGGTGGGACTTGGCTGCAGGGATGAGGCCAGGCTGAACAAGCACGGCTGTGCTGATGGGCATGGCATTTTTAACAGGCTAAATGGCCACAGCTGTGCTGATGGGCACAGCATTTTTAACACACTAAATGGCCACAGCTGTGCTGATGGGCACAGCATTTTTAACAGGTTAAAAGTCCACAGCTGTGCTGATGGGCACAGCATTTTTAACAGGTTAAATGTCCACAGCTGTGCTGATGGGCACAGCGTTTTTAACAGGCTAAATGGGCACAGGTGGAGGTTGTTTGCAGAGACAGGTCAGGCTGAGGGGTGGTGAGGAGTGTGTGGATTTTTCTGCTGCTAGCTCCATAGGTAGAGGAAAGAAGGAAGCCCTAAACCACAGCATTTTTCAGACCTTATTGTGGGATCTTGTGAAGAGGTAAGTGGGCTAAAATTCTGCTCTAGTTTTTAAGTGGTATTCCTCCTGCTAAGAAAGAGGGAGCTGTCTTTGCTATCTGTGCTGCACCGATATGGTGTTGGAGTAAATCCTGATTTTTCTAGTGCTCCACCAAGGGGTCTGGCTCAGCACCTCCACCATTTTTTTGCCTTGTGTGTTTTGCTTCTGTTTCACACGTACCTCCTAAACTTGTGTTTAAAGTCTTCCTTAATTAGATTTACTGCAACATTGCTTCTTTATGACTTATTTTCCAGGACAAGATTTTGTATCTGAAACAATTATAAAGGGTGCTAGGCTTAATTGCATCTTCATATTTTAAAATAACTGGATGGGTCCTTGCCCATGTGTTGGCCAAAATCCTTGTGTATGTGTTATATAAACAAATAGCTATAATGTGTATACAGAGGTCCACCTCATAATATTTTCCTTGCTGCTGTAGTAGGCAGGAGGGACAGCAGGAATATCTGCAAACCTGCACTGCAGAAACCCACTCAGGAGCAAATATCAGGCCCAGGATCAGTGTGGCTTGGGAAGCCGTGGCATTGTGTGTGGTAGGTGCCATGGAAACATCTCCTGGTGGTAGCTCAGCCCTCAGCTTGTGCAAGGTGCCTCCACAGGGAAGTGCTGGCTGCGAGGAGCCCTCTTTTACTACCAGTTAATTTCTACCTTCCACCAGCTCTGGAGGGAAACCACTGATTAAGGTGATGCCTAGCAATTATACTATGATAAGTTAATTGCAGAGGAACAGCCCAATGGCTGCAGTTAGCTCTGGCCAGGCTGCACGGCTTTGTGGAGGGGAAGAAAGGTGATGGTGCCTTGGAGCAGCACAGCTGAAATACTGAAACACTGGCACTCTGCTGCAGCCTGACATGGGAGCAGGCGCCTCCCTTTCCATTTGCGTAAGTGAACTTAAATCTGGCTGCTTGGCTCCTTTCTCACACCCTTCCTCCTGTCTGAGAAGGCTGAGGGGCTGCTGCATCTGAGAAGGGAAAAGGGAGGGATTTACAGCCATGGTGCTCAGATATTTTAGAGGCTTTTTGTAACACCTCGTAGCTTGTATACAAAAATGTTGTAAAATATGTTTGGCACGTGCTGATATTCATTCTTTTTAGATAACTATTCATGCTGTAATGCTAATATCACAGTCTAAGCTTTCCTATGTACTGAAAGAGCAAAATGGCCTGGGGTGTTTCAAGTGCTGTGTGTGCTTTTGCCATGGCAGCAGGGCTGGCCTGGAGCTCCAGCTCATGGCTTTGCTGCAGGCATGTGTGGAAAACAGCTTCACTACAGCAGTTCAGCTTCAAACCCATGGGAAAATCTTTTCCTTTTCCTTCTGAAAACATAGTAATAAAAAACTTTGAAAAAGAGGTTGGTTTGAGATAATGCTAAAAAAAAAAATAAATTAAAAATACCACTTAGATACTGTTTAAATAGTCCTAGTGCAGAAATGGTAAATCCAGGTGTTGGTTTGGACTTCTGCTCTCATTGCCTGGTATGAACGTGAGGACAAAATACAGCAATTATTGTGGGTCATGGCACCTCCTGCAAGGCAAGCAAGGGGCTTAGGGGAGGTGGGAAAGAGGGCAGGGCAGCCAGGACTCCTTCCAGAGTGCCGGGCAGAATTTCCCCTTTTTAAAAATATTCCTGAGGGATATTATTATTAAATATATAGTTATTATATTTATTTTTAAATCTATCTAAGCATCTATTTAGAAATATCTTTTTAAAGACCCCCAGGTGGCCCTGAGGGGCTGCAGAGCTGGCTGCGCCCACCCGGGGCAGCCCTGCCCTCACAGAGCCCCTCAGGGACAGGGCCCCCACCAGAGCCCACAAACTCCCCAGCCCATGCCCTGCTAGGATGGAAAAGCAGCTTCCTTCATCAGACACGATGAAAAGTGCAAGCCGTTTGAGATTTCTTATGCTTTTGATCAGTTGTTTGGAAGAAACATCATAAATTTGGAATAACTGGGTGAGCAGAAAGGAACCTCTTCTGAGGCTTGTGCCATTGCTGCTGCTTAAATTCCACTTCTCGTTCCTTCATAACCCTGCATTTTGTATCTTCAGGAGTTAGGTAGAAGGCTGTGCATCAGCACAGGGTCAGCTTTTTCCTGACTTTTGGGGCCCTTTTGAGGTGAAGTGACCCCTCTCTGTCCTGAACAGCCCATCTGCCTCAACACAAGGCCCCATCTTCCCGACTATTTTCCCTGACTATAGGTCCCTCAGCCACCCTCAGGGACAGGGCCCCCACCAGAGCCCACAAACTCCCCAGCCCATGCCCTGCTAGGATGGAAAAGCAGCTTCCTTCATCAGACAGGATGAAAAGTGCAAGCTGTTTGAGATTTCTTATGCTTTTTCATCAGTTGTTGGGGTAAGAAATTTGGAGTAATTGTGTGAGCAGAAAGGAACCCCTTCTGAGGCTTGTGCCATGGCTGCTGCTTAAATTCCACTTTGGTTCCTTCATAATCCTGCGGTTTTTATCCTAAGGAATTCGGTATAAATTCACAAATTTCATGGAGTTGGAAGGCTGTGCATCAGCACAAGGTCAGCTTTTTCCTGACTTTTGGGGCCCTTTTGAGGTGAAGTGACCCCTCTCTGTCCTGAACAGCCCATCTGCCTCAACACAAGGCCCCATTTTCCCTGACTTCAGTGGTGAGGGAACTTTACTGGAGTTTACCCCATCACAGGTCTCATCTCAGCTCTGCAGGAAAATATTAGTAAGAATATACAGTAGAAATAAGATCTCTACTAAGATGCTACAAAGAAGGCAATCATTTTACCAAAGTTGTAGATCTTTGGAGGTTAAAATAATAAAAGCCAGTCACTGTTTACCACTTGCTGTTTTTATTCCCCAGCAATCACTCTCTTCTATACAAGTTAGGCACACAACAAATAAGGTTTCACCAGAGCTGCAGCTCAGCAGAGAAGGAAGCACATTTGGTGTTCCTCTGGAAACCCTTGTAGAGGATGCAGAGCAATGTGGGGTTCCTTCTCTTGTGACACAGATGGTGGAGTACCTGGAGGTATTTGGTAAGTTCATATTTTTCCTGTTTAGCTTCTGGAAACTGATATTCTTTGTTTAAGCTTTCCTTTTCAGCTGTAAATGCTGGGAAATCCTTATTTACAATTATTGGGCTTTCTTAAAGGAGCTCTTGCTTTTTGAACCCCAGTTCTCATCACAAGGATGTGGTAAAGCAAACAACCACTGCTGACTGTTCTGTATTCCTTACACAGGTCTGGAGCGTGTCGGTATATTTCGGGTTGGTGGCTCAGCAAATAAAATCAAGGCATTGAGGCAGAAGTACAATCAAGGGGAAAAAGTAGACCTTATTAACGATGGAGATGTTGATTCTGTGGCCAGTCTCCTGAAGCTCTTTCTGAAAGAACTACCAGTGGCTGTTTTTCCAGACAATATTTGTTCTGGCTTGTTAAAAACTTTCCAAGGTACAGAACGGGCACCTTCCAAGCCTCTGTCCATTCTCTGGCAGTGACAGATAATGTGTTCATCACACTTTCTATAAACAAAGTTTTGTGTTTCCTTAACCTGAAGCTGATGTTTAATTGCTTTGGAGGGACCAGGCATCTATGAACTTGTCTACAGTCTTTTTAAAATTCATTAAGTCTTTTGGATTCCCTTCCTTCCTGTGGCAATGAATCCTGCAATCCAATCCTGTTTTCTTTGAGAAAGCTCTTCTTCTGCATGCTTTCTTTTTTAAATTGTATACCATACTAGTCACTGAGATAATATTTTTAGTTTTAATGCAATCACCACCATAATTCTGCTTGTGTCTTTATATAGTCACTGCCTTGCTTCTCTGTTTTCCAAGATGAAGCCTCTTATTAATTTAACCTTCCCTGTTAAAGGAGGTTTTTCTGCACATCATTCTTCTTATTCAGAACTGTAATTTTACTTAGCATTTATTTTTCCAGTCCTCATATGCGTGGAGCAGCATGCAAAGCCCAGAGCACCCCAGAGCCCACTGCCTGTTCCCCATTCATGCCTGCAGCAGCTGAGCTCTGCTCTCAGTCTGCCCGGTGGTTCTGACTGGTAGCTAATTCAGGTGTTTGCATACAAATAAGTGGGTTTTGTGGGTTACTTTGCAGGCTGCTTTTGTTCGAAGTGCCCATGTAGGAGTTTACAAAGAAAGAGAAAGGAAGCAGTTTTATGAACTGTGAAAGTCTATGCAGAACAACCCATCGGGCTTTGATGAGCACCTATTTTTTTCTACCCTAGACAGTCTTGCTGTTATTTTTTAAAGTTATTTTTTCCTCTTCGTCCCCTTTTCCATTTCACTCATTAATCAGTTGAGCACCATGGGCCTTGGCCTGTGCAGAATGTGTTTTTTAGGGCTAAAATTACCCTCAAGGGCATGATTTGCTTATAAGCAATGTCAAAGCTACGCAGATGTGTCCTGGTGATCTATGGCAAATTTGAGCATCAGCTGCCAATTATTGAGCAGTACTGTCATCTCAATTCTAGTAACCAGGAGAATTTATCCTACTGATACGGAACTGCTGATCAAATGGAGTTGTTTGTGAACCCATTTTCTGCCTTGTTACCCTTCTTTGAAGAATAAGAACCAAGAAAATGTTAAGTATCCCCAATTTAGAATTTTAAGCATCTCTTGTGTAACTGCAGTTGCATATTTATAGAGCAAAGATGTTTTGAGTCTGAGAGCTACCAATTAGTCAGGAAATGAAGATGATGTGGGGCTGAAAGGCTACAATTTCTCATTCCTCTTAATGAGAATCATACAGCATGTGTAAAATCTCTTGGGAGAGTCAAGGCTGACAACCTTGTACTGTCTTTCAAGGCAGCTTTGAGGGTTCAGGTACATGACTCCTGCCTGCAATTTCATTAGGAAAGCAGCAAGTGCTGGATGATTCTGCCTTAAGAGGAAAAATATCAGAAACAGTGAGTGTAAAACTCAATATCTGGAAAATCTATGGTTTTGAAATATTCATAAGTGAAAAACATATATCAAAATTTAGTGTACAAAATCCTTGTTTGAGACCTATTTATTCTTTCCTTTGTTCTAATATATTTTAAAATCTTCCTTCTTACTTATATCTAATGTTTGTAATGAAATTGTGTTGATATGAGGAATATCTATGTTATAAGGTTATAAGTTTGGTTTTTTTTCCTTTTTTTTCCCCCTTTTTTTCCCCAGAGCACAAAATCAACACAACAGAATGCATAGAGAACCTGAGACAGTTGCTCAGCTGCCTGCCCAAAGCCCATCAAAACCTTCTCCAGTTCCTGTCTGCCTTCCTGTTAAAGGTAGCAACCTACAGCGCAGTGAATTTCATGACTCTGGAAAACCTGGCCATCGTGTTTGGACCTGCTCTGTTCAAGTGAGTCCTCTCTACTCATCTGCCTCAAACAGCACAACAAGGTCACACCTCACAGGGAGGCTTTCTGTCGTAACTCTGTGTCCAACAGACAGGGGAGCATTTTGTGAGCTCAGTGTTTATGTGGTGTATTGTGGGCAGATGTGGCAGGCTCTGAGCTGGCTGATCACTTCCATTCTGTCGGGTGCTGACTACAGGGCAAGCCTCAAGTAAGAAACTGGATGAAGAGACATGAGGGATAGAGAGCTGTTTCGTGACAGCTACTTCTCTTTTCTGAGCCAAGATCACTGCTGGCAGTGGGGGCTACTTAGTTGTTGGATTTGATTCTGAAAAGCTTGCCCTCCACTTTGACCTTGTAACAGTATTTGATATCAGAGAAATTAATCCCTTTTATCAAGAAAGAGAAGCAACTCATTCTGCCCTTGCTGCTAATTCAAATTGATGTCCAAGCAGAGCTTGGAAGCAGTGAGAGCTTGGCTGGAGCTAGAGGAGTCGTGTGTGGGGTGATGGTGAGTGGGCACAAAACTGGAAGCTAAAAAATGAGGAGTGGGACAACATGCCATGCAACTCAAGGTGACAAGAAGGAACAGCCTAGTGTGATCAGATAATGGAGGATTTTCCCTTTCACTGTTGACACTAGAGGATGTTAAAATACTTACACCTGTTACAACTGGTGAATCTTTGTTCTAGTGGATCACAGCCATGCCAGGTTAATATGTGCTATAAGGCAATGACACTTTACAAAGTATATTTATTAGCCATTAATATCCTGCATGCAGTAAAAAGGCCTCGTTATTCAGTTGGGTGTTTTATGGCAAGCCAGGTTAATTTTAAAAGTATATACTCAGCAAAATTGGTGCCCAGCATCAATGACAAGCTTTGTTTTGTGGAAATGGACTGTTAAGCCTTGCTGGTGTTTCATAGGTCTCTATATGTGGTCTCTGTTTTCCTGCTCTGTGGTTTTATTACCAGGTCTACCAGAATCTGACCTTTGGACGGGATACAAGTTTATATCTTTAACAAAAGCACAGGAAGGGAAGTGAATCTAACAAGATGTGGTGTGGTTGGAACTATGCCACTCTGTCCTCTGGGGAAAACAACCTCACCATGGAGGATATTCAGCAATGCAGCAAAGCAGTTCTGCAACCAGACCCCAAGTTCCTTAATATCTGAATACTAAAGTCAGTAAATGAGTGGAGACAGATGAGGTTTATTTATCAGTGCTTGGCGTAGTTCTGTGGTGATACTTATGAGCATTGGCTGATGCAAAAAAGCCTTCACCAAGAATCAATCCCTTGGCCCCCACATTAACTCAAAAAGCCCCTCACTGTCACTTTTCTACCATCAGGTGAAATTTGCTCTCACCTGTGGAGTAGTTCTGTGGTGATACTTATGAGCATTGGCTGATGCAAAAAAGCCTTCACCAAGAATCAATCCCTTGGCCCCCACATTAACTCAAAAAGCCCCTCACTGACTGTCACTTTTCTGCCATCAGGTGAAATTTGCTCTCACCTAGGGCTTCTGTGCGTGCACATGCATGCAAGAAGACTTTGTTCCTTTTTCTCCATTCCCAAATTATCCCAGCATGTGCCCACTGATTCCTCTATCTGCACGTAAGAATCCAGTGTGCTCCCTTATTGATTGATGAGCTGCTTCAGTTTTTAAATATCCCACTGTTCTGGGACATGGCCCAGCTCCTTCTGAACATGTGCCTTTGCCTGCTTTTAAAGTACATTCAGTGCTAAACTGAGCACTTGTGGCAATGACCTGTCTGAGAAGCCTTGAAAGCAATCAGCACAGAGTTTCCCTGCCAGTGACCTGTCATGACAACAGCTACCATAAATAGAAGTATGTCTGCCCTGTAAATGCTATCTTCAGCTCTTCACAGTCACTCTGATCTCACCAGCTCCAGGAGACAACCCAGTAAATCTGGAACTCAGGTTTTGGGTTTTTTTTTTTTTGGGTTTTTTGTTTTTTTTTTTTTTTGTAAAACATTTAACACTGTGGTGCTGTGCTTGTTGAGTTACCTTCTAGGGTTGTGAAAAATCACCTTTTTGGTACTTGGGTGGAGAGGAGAGCCTTGAAACTGGCACTGTCAGTGAGATTGCTCTATACCACTTCCTGCTGAGTGACCTGAGGCCTTCAATGATTCAGAATAAATCACTGGAATTGTCCTGTACAGCAGCGAAATTCAAGGTAGTCAGCTGTGGCAAATCATATCTGCTGACACAGGGGAAAAAGTCATAAATATCCTTTATGTCTTTCAGAGCAAGAATTAGTGCAATTATCTGGCACATTATGAAACATTTGGCAGCCAGTGTGTAGGAAATTGGGACATGTTGGGTAGTACTTGCTATTGTTGTTCGGTGTAAATGTGAAGGTTATGGAAAAAAACTGCTTCTAGATCTAATCCACAGAAATGTGTACTCCATGCAATTGCTGGAATTAACCTTCTGGAGGTAATGGCAGTTCCTCATACAGCATAAATTCATTGCAGTGTTAAAACCGTTCTTGTATCCTGGCAATCTGCATTTTTGTGAAATTACTTATTCATTCTTTGACACTGAACAACTAAAAGCTGTTTATGAGCCTTTTTACTTACCTATTTATATTGAAGTGTAAATTCTGTCTATGATTATCACCTATCTCAATATTTTGGCACTTTTTTTTGTGGAGATCTGTCATGTTTATAGTTTCATTGAAGTGACTGGGTGGGAATATTCTGTAGTTACAACACAGAACACTCTTGGACCTTGGGACCACAAAAGTAGAATATTCAACTTTGTACATTGTAAACCTAAACTGCACATACTTTGTGATTTGTAACTATGGTTATTGTAACACAAAAATTATAAGGTTTAGCACAGGTATTATATTGAAAATCTAGTTAGAGTATCATGGAAAACTCCTGATTTTGTCCTCGTAGTATCTGTAAATGCCCAGGAGAAAGTGTTGCTGTGCTTTTATGAGAACTCTGACTGATGTTACTTAAATTTCCATGGATACTTTGTTATGCTTCATCTTGGTAAAGAGATTTTTAGTTCTGGTCCCAGTAAGCAATTCTTGCATGAGTGCACAAGGACTCCAGCCAGCCAGCTGTTTGCTTCCACTCACTTTGACTCATTGTTTCTGTAAATGTGCAGCAAGCCTGTGGCAGCAGGGAACCTTGGCAGATCTCCTGGACCAAGCCAAGGCAAGGGACTTGTGTGGACTTTTTAGGCTGCACTTTGTGGCAAAGCAGCTTTGAAACATCTAGACTCACTCAAGAAAACCAGTAGCTAATTCCTGATGGTCAAGTTTTACTTGCTTCTTATTCACAGTGTGTTCTACTGGGATTTGTACTGGAACTGATTATGGGGCTTTTGTAGGGAAGTGCAGAATACACCTCAGTAGCTCTGCTCTTCCTAGGATCACGTGTCTGGATTTAGCAGTGTGGGAACCTGGCTCCCCTTTACTGTCACCCCAATAATGCAGCTTCTGGTAGCAGCAGAAGTATCTGAATAGACAGGAAGTGATTATTGCACAAAATTAATTGAAAGTCATTGTGGAAGGTGGCTGAAGAGAAAAATCAGAGTATATTCTCTATATTTGGAATGCACACCTGTTGTCACCCATGAATATCTGCTGATGAGACATTGATACTCAGAGTCAGCTGTCTCATCCCAGTCTATAGTTTAGATCTGTTTGAGGAGGGAATGAGAACTGGGCACTCAAACACAGGCTGCTAATAAGGGGAAGGAGGGCTCAATGAGTGGTCTGAGAGCCATTTATCTTCCTGAATAGCTTGTGCAGTGCTCCTTCTGGCAAGGAGTTAACAGCTGGTAGAGGTGCATTCAGGAACAGATGTCTAAGCTAATGGAATAAGCTGAAAAAGAAGACAAAGGACTAAAAATATTGCTTGTCTGGCCTGTGAGCTGAGGGTGTTGATGTTTGGGTAAGTGATGAATAATCTCTTAGGATTGTTGTATGCAGCAAAGGCTATTGCTCAGTCAACCAGGTTTTACAAGCAGCCTTGTTTATTGTGGAGAAACTGAGTCCGTCCCAAGAAAAATGAGAATGCAAGAAAGGGAAATGTTAACTAATCCTAAAGAAGGAACTGATGACACAGTTGTTCATCCCGTAAATCCCTATATGCTGTACCTGGATATAACTCTGCTTAAATCTTCTGCTTCCAAAAGGAGCCCAAACTTAAGTCCTTACAGAAACAACAGTAAGTTTACAAAAGAGGAACATGAGTGAAACCAATTGGACTGGGCCCAATGTGTATATTTGTACTTTAAAATTGCAAATGAATAATGAATGTACTCATTTGGCAAACGGAAGACTGGTGTATTCATGCTCCACATTAGTCTCCAGAGTTTATGAATTTCTTCTTTAAATATTAATATTGTGCTGGGTGTAACTGAGTTGGTGCAGCATGGCTGAAGAAGCTCCATTAAGGGCACAGCATTTATGTAAATGTTCTCCAAGCTTCCAAATAGTTGGCAGGGGTGAGGAATACACAAGTCCTTCAGGGGTTGAAATTAAATCCTATATAAAGAATCCTTTTAATTAAATTGTTCTGACTTGACAGGGACAGTAAAAATACAACCACTGTTCATAAAAACCCAAAAACTATGGGGAGATCAAGCAAGAAAGAAAAAAACCCAACTCAGACTCAACATGGGTAATGGGAACATCTGGAATTTCCACTTGCTGATATGTCTGATGTCTGTGGATTTATAAGTGAATGCACTGAAGCAGTTTGTTACCTGTGGTGACCTGTGTACCTATTTCCAGACTGTTTGGCAATAAGACATTCTAGTGATCACAGCTCACCTTCATAAATGAAGGCAGAACAAACCCACTCTTTCCACTCCAGTGCCAGTGAGCAATGGCAGATTGATAGGGCGCTATTTTTTTGCCTGTCCTTTTCACCCTTATTTTGCAAACCTTGCATCTGGATTCCTGTCAGGTTCTACCTCCTCTGCTGTGCTGCCACAAAAACTTACTGTGTTGTGAACCATTGCAGCAAGGCTGGGGCTCTGCCCCTGTGAAGGTCCTGCTGTTGTGACCCCACCAAGCTCCAGTGGTCACTGTCCCAGCAATTGCTGCTTCCCTGGATTACCTTGGCTGCTGGGAGGGCTCCCTGTGTGAGCCATCCCAGCCCCTGATCTGAGAGCTCCTAAAATTGATCCATCTCCTCTTCCTTTAGGATTCCTGTCAGTCCCTTGGCTTGTGAAGAACAAAGGCTTTACAATGGCCTCCTGCTGTATTTGCTCCAACACCAGGAGTTGCTTTTTGTTGACCTGGACCCTTGCTTCTCACAGAGACAAGCAGATGGCCTTCAGGTAAGAAAATTGCAGCCAGAAATCAAAAGTGCTTCATTAGGTTGAAGCCCAGGACTGGAAATACATTTGCTTATACATAGTGTAATTAATGACCTTAGTTTGTAGCCAGCAATGTGAATATTCATGATGTATTTAAGCTGGAGAGGAAACATGAGTGTTAAAATTCTAATTTGGAAAAAAATGCAAGCGCAAGAGCAAGAGGTCCAGAAGAAAATCCCAAGCTGTTCTACTTTATATATATTAATGCCAAGGTTTGTTAGATCAAAGCCACTGGATTTTTCCTCGAGTGAAACATGTTTTATTTTGTGTGTGCTTTTGTCTATACATTGATGATTCAGGAAAGCAAAATCAGAAGGATAGAAAACCCTCTTATTTTTTAGAACTCATTCTGTGTGTTCCAGCCTCTCCTTGGGCATTTTCTTTCTTAAAACATTGTTAGCACTTTGATTCCTTTTTTGCCTCTTTGTTGAAAACCTCGTGCTGGAAGAAACACGATAGACAAATCCTGGCTTAGAGAGAGGGTCAATATAAATCTTGTTTTCACTTTGTGATGTGGTGTATCATTGCTGCTTAACTTCAAATTGATTTTTGGAAAAAGACATGAAGGAAGTGTAGCGAACCCTGCAGTTTAATGCTTCACAGTGCAGTTTTGTTATCCTTGAGGTTCATGGTGAGGCTGGCAGCCATGTGCCAGGTCAAGTGATGGACAGGGGAAGAGGTTAGCACTGCATGTAAATGTGAGTGATGATATTTGTGTTCATGACTCCTTAATTTTCTGGCTTCTTTCTCCAAGTATCCCTGTTAAGGAAAGCTAGCAGACTTCTAATACAAGCCAAAGTCAGTATTTAGACATATTACATATCCCAAAGAGAATATTGGGGCTGGAAGCTTTCTTTGAAAACAAAACCTGTACAGACACAGGTGTAAAGAACAGGCCATACTGATAAAAGGATGTTTCTAAAATATTGCTTCAATGCCTCAAGACATTGCCCCAAATGTAACACTAGGATTGTTTCACATTAAGACAGTGTTGAGCCCATGCTCCCAGCTCCCCTTTCTCTCTGAAGAAGTCCCATGTCACTACCTCCTCTGGGAGTTTCTGAAACCAGTACTCAAATGAGCACACAAAATCAAAATATTGGCTGTCCCAAGACATCTGCTTCTGTTTGCAAAGCTAGAGGAAGCATCAGCAGCTAAAAGAAATTGGAAAAGTATTAGAGAAGCCAGGAAATCAGGCTTTCACTTGCAGTGCTTTTGTTTTAGAACTAGCTTCACTCCCTGTAATTCTGCAAAATGTCACAGTCTGTCTGGAATTGTGGTGATGTGGGAAAGAATTCTGCTGAAAAGCTGCTTTCAAGTTCTTTATTAAAGCCTCAGACAAGGCATAGCCATGGGGCACTCTCCTGCTCTGAGGTAAGCTTATGAAAGAAATCCCATCTGTGGGTGAGAAGGGAATTCAGTATTCCGTGGCTGATCTTGTTTTTGTAATTTTTGGCAAGAAACCCAGCACATTGGATAGGTACCCTTCCTTTTTCATAATATAACAATTGCTCAAGGTCCACTGAACTAGAAACATCAAAGTTAGGTTTACAAACTAAACATATTAAAAGTCCATGCTTTTCTTCCAGTAAAACAAGCAAAAGTGAAATGGCAAACCTGGCTCAGATTCCTTGTTGCGTCCTGGAAATGAAACTTGTTTTTACTGGCTTTTACACAGATACTTGCATTTGGACTACTTAATTCCTCTGATTTTGTTGTTCGGTTGTCTTTTTTTCTTTTTTTTTTTTTTTCCATTTCAACACTTTAAAGTTAACCTGAGCTCTGTCAAACTGAAGCCATGCCAATCTGGCAGGTCTGCCATACAGCTGACAAGACTAAACCTTCAGTTGTGTTGTCTGTGGGCTGAAATGGGCAGAGGGATTGCTGTGAGCAGAGTTCTTAGTGCCTCAAAGTTCCAGGAGCCGTGCCACTGGCACTGTGTGTACTGGCTGATTCAGACTGACAGACTGGGAGAAGAAGTTTTGGGTTTAAGTTTTTTGGTAGTTCAGAACTATTATCCTAGGCTGGACAGTAGGCTATTCACAGCCACCAATTATATATAAAGAGAGTGGTTTAAAGTTATATCCCAGCCATGATGTATTTTAACTTTTTAAACTTTTTTTCCTGTATGTTGTTCATATATTTTTCACCCTTAAAATAGAGTCAGAATGCTGCAAAATCCTACCAGACTGGGGGTTTGTGTCTCTGTGTGGGTTTTTTTAAATACATTTTATTTAAAATATTATCCCCCCACTTTCTCCTGAGCATTCACTAGCATTTAAAGCTGTCCTATAACCTTCTGTCCTAGCCCAAAAGCTGCACTGGTACTAAACTGATTTTCATGTTTGGATTAAATAATTCTTTAAAAAGAGGTTAGGCACTACGGTGTCTGTTTTCACCTGAGGCCTTTCTAATAACTGCATTTAACCCAAGGAATATCAATAGCTGTGTTGGAGGTGTGCAAGGTTATCTTAACTTCTGTAGTGTAATTTAATTACGAACCAAACCTTGCTAATAGCAATTTGTCATTTCTGCATCTTACATTCCAGATAAAAGTTGAATATGGATTTATTTTTTTTGGTTTTTTTTGCATCTAGTCCAAGTCATTTCTGCATCTTACATTCCAGATAAAAGTTGAATATGGATTTTTTTTTTTTTTTGCATCTAGTCCAAAAATGTGTTTCTGCATCTCCTGTTTGTACAGAAGTCATAGATGAATCCTTCCTGGTTTAGGCACTCAACCTTTCTCTTGCAAGCAAACAGGAGCATGACTTTGTGGGTGCCTACAAGCCACTGCTTGTATCCCCATTAAAGCATGGGTTTGGTTAGGAGAAATGCCTACACCCTGAGGAGAGGAGTCTCCTTTCTTGTTCTCTTCTTTTGCTTTGTCCTTTCATGCATGTTTCACTATATATCAGCAAGGCTGCTCTCTACAGCCTTAGAACCCTATTTTGAAGGGATTGCAGAGATCTAGGGAGATGGGGAAGTGGAGCTGGACAATATTCTGGACCTACAGGTTGACCACAGACAACTCTGAATGGAAATCTGAAACTGTAGTGTGGTTTGGAGCTGGTCAGAAGAGGGCAACTAAATATTTCATGGATACTTTGTCTGCTCAAATTATGGCTTTATTGGGAAGGCTTTTGTGGTCTGGAGAGCTTTGTTAATCTTGTGGGTTTACATTTTTTCCAAGAGGATATGGATGTTTCAGCATTGACTCTGTTCTGTGAAAAAAATGTGGTATCTCACTTGCATGGGAAGTTGTCATAAAATAGAATTGTGGTCTCTCAAATGGAATATCTTCAATGCAGAGGACAGCAATAATTTAACTGATATTTTACTTAGGTTTCAGCTAATTCAACAAGAATTGTCATGGGATTACCATTCAGACCAAACAAACAACCAGCCAAACAGACATTATCCCACTATCTGAAGTTTCCAGGTCGGACTAAATTGTCTTGTCAAAATAGTTTTTCCTGGATTAGGAGAACATAGTTCCATTTCCTATTTGTAGAAGTGTCAATAACTTTCTTTCATTTAAGTTTTTTCCTTAACAGTGGTATGTTTTAGTTGGTTTTAGGTGTGAACATAGCAAACCCTGCATGTACCATGTGAAGTGCCAGGAGATTTGTCAGTGTATCTGTGGGGATTGCTGCTACATTATCGAAGGACTTCTTATATTATTTCCCATTCCACAGAAAAACTCCTTTCCATAATCTTTGTAAATTTGCTAAAATATGGACTCATTAAGCACTACATTTTAATTTTCTGTTTGAGTACTAACCAAACCAGAAGGCTGGATGAAAAATGCCATTTGTAGAGATCAAAGCAGGCAAGCCCTATACCCCTACAAATGTTGTGGTCAATAAATTGTAAAGATGTATTTCTTCTCTTCTTCAAAAGCACAGCAAAATATGTTACTGACTGTGGGCATAAGGATTTGATAAAAACTGCTTAGGCTGGGGAAGTTTGACTTGAAACAGCTCAAATGGATGTGGCTGGAGTACTCACTACTCCTTCTGGGGGTTCAGTGCCAGGGCTTTGCTGCCTGTGGCTGGAAGGAATAGAGCTTTGCTGTGCTGAGCCTGTGTCTGCAGCAGCCTGGCCTCTGTACTGCAGATCTGGAACTTGGAAAGGACGAGTGTGCCTGCTCTCCCCTTGTGGGGAGCTGCGGGGTCTGGAGGAAATGTCACTGGTTTAATGTTTGCTCCAGCAGTGCTGGGGGTTTCTCTTGACTTGCTGGGCAACTCCTCTGGGACACTGCACTGCTGCCACACATCAACCCCCACGTGGGTTGTGCTGTGCTGCTGTCTACTTTTCTCTTTTTTTCCCTTCCCAGTACACAGAAGTGTTGAGGTTGGTTGGTTTGTTTGTTTGTTGTGGTGTTAGGTTTTTTTTTGTTGTTTTTTTTTTTTTTTTTTTTTTTTGTGGGCAAGGCTGCACTAGGAGAGAAGCTTGGCAAGATAGGATGTGCCCTGTGTGGCAAATGAGGCCACCACTTTACTGTAAGCAGCAGCTCTAGCACAGAGCAGGGGAGCTGCTCAAGCTGAAATGCTGGGGCTTTACTGCAGTCAGTGGTACAAGAACAGGGCTCGGGCAGTGCCACGAGCTGCTCACACTGAGCACTGGCTGTTGTTCCATAAGGATCCAAAGTGCATGAGAGGGGAAGGTCTTTCTAAAACTTTCTAAACTATTTCGTGGCTTGGGAAATGGTTTTGAAGGCAGTCTGGGCACAGAAACCAAGGCAGTGGAGTCTCACCTTTTGTTTCTTACTCTGTGAATGCCCATCTTCAGTATGGCTGAGAATACTCTCACCACAAAAGCTCTCACCACAGTCAGATTTACAGAACCCGTATAGATTAGAGGTGAAGGATGTTTACCTGCAGTTTGTGAAGGGGAGCAATTCCTGATGTGCTCATGGCAGCAGCAGCCAGGTGCTTTGCTCACAAACATCAGCTACA